CAGTGTATCTTTAATATTTTTGTCCACCATTAAGTAACATAGTAATGAATACTGTGCTATGACTTAGCCTAATTCACCCTTGCCTCCATTGAGAAAATACATATTAAAAAAATTAAATTCTCATCTTTCTTGTAGCAAATTCCTGAGTTATTTGATAATTTTGGTACTAATTTACCCCTCTGTTAATGATTTTAGGGCCCTCCACACTATCTTAACAATTCAGCTAAAACTTGATATGTTAAACAAGGCCAACTAACATTTATAATTATTTCATATTTTCTTCTATAAAGCTATATTAATTAATCAATAGAGGGTTTTTTAATAAATATTTGATCAAGTTACTGACAACAAGAGTAGAAAACACAGGGGGTGCATACATATGTTGCATAGGTCTGTAGTTCAGGAAAGCTGGGCTACAAGCCTCCTTTTATTTGCTCTATTAACACCCACAGGATTCCAGTTTCAAAGCCTGTCTTTATGTGGTTTACCAAAACCCAAACTCCAGTAGATGGTCCATTAGAGTTGGGAACTCCTACTTTTGTTTCTTAGCTGTGTGCAGCAGAGCAACCAGCCTTCCAACATCTCCCATAACATGATACGTCAGACCCTGAGCACTGCTGCAGGTGACCCAATTATATACCACTTGACAAAGCTCCCCTGCTCACATCCTGGATGCTTACACATCTTACACTCACAAATGCCCCATTAGATATTAGCCTGGTTTTCTACAACAACAAACCCAAAGACAATCCAAAACAATTCCAAAAGTAAACTCCCTTAAAGTTTATATACTTGCCCTAAGAAGTCTAAATGTGCCAACGAAGCTGAGAATGGTGGAAGATGTACAATTAATTCTTAGTGAATAACGAAGGAAAATTTATTAAAAAAGGGAGAATGTGTGTAATAAGCATGGAGCACAAACACCCATGTAAGGGTACAGAAGGACACTGCAAAAGACTTAGACCAAACTGCTTGATCACTTTATAACAGTAAGATGAAAATATATATACAAATATATGTGACTTTTAAAAAGCCTAGGGGATGTTGTTTTGTGAAAGTACTGAGCATACATAAGTATCACATATAGCTAGGTCATCACCTTGTCAGAAAAACACGTTATGGCTGTGCCTGCCTGACAATAAACACTCCTAAAGGGACTGAAGCTCGACACTATTCCCAGCAGGAAGGAACCAAACTTACATGAGATGTGTAGCCACTTAGGAAGTACAAATAACATTCTGTGTGAAGCTGTTCTCTCCTCTACCAACACAGCTGGCAATAACAGCCTAAACTCAACCTTTGTTTGGTACTTTAGTATTTACAAACAACTGCAAAATAATCTATCTGCTTCATCTGAGAGCACAATAAAGCTGTGCTACAACACCCTTTCACCAATTAAAAAAAAATTAGTTCTTAATACTTCTTAGCAGGTAGTTTATGAGAAATAAATTGTTCTTCAATGGAACATTACATTCGTCACTTGGCCTTCTCCCATCTTGGATAGTATGTCTTAGTGGATAACAGGATTTTAAAAAAGAGGTAAGAGCTGATATTTTACACCACGATTTATGTACCTTTGGAGAAAGAAGACCAATGAAGAAATTGTATACATTTCTCTAGAGAAGTTTCATATTTTTTTTCATACAAAATTTAACTGGACAATAATTTATGTTTTGAAAAGGCCAAGGTCAGCATTTTAAAATCTAATATTAAAAATAAGTATTATATTATTAAGTCTACTATATACCCATTAAGATGATTTGCTATTTTCACTCCTTATCCATTCAAAAGGGGAGAAATTAATAATTTGTTAAGAAGTTTAAAAGACATTGCTCTGCACTACACATCTAATTTAACATTCACCAAGGTGAGTATGAGTGGAACAGATATCTGATGGAGTTGGTGACACTTCTAATTGCTGACTAAAAAGACAGAAGTGGTTTAAAATGTAACTAAACTATAAATACTGAGTAAAAAGTTCTGTATTTCTATATTGTATTAATGTTTTGATTGTTATTGACTTGCCTAAGATTGAAAACACTAAGAGAATTCCAGGTTCTAGTCTGGAAATTTCAATGCAACTGAGCCTCACAGCTTCTTCATAAATAACTGAACTTCAGTGAAAAATCATATTCAGTCAATCATCTTTAGACAATCAGAAAAAATGCATGTGACATTCTGAGACATTTAATCCACAAAAGTGGCATTTATCAATAATACATATTGAGATAGTATTCTCACACTGAGAGGTGACACAGAGACTTCAAAGCTTTGTGTTTAGAAGTGATTTTAAAAAAACCCAACATGGAAAAAAAGCCAGCATGATATCAATAGGAAGGAATGAAATTCCATTGATCCCTGGAAGCATTCCAGAAGTGGGATATTCCCACTGTGCAGGCAGTGATCGTTAAACGCATGTCCTCTCACAAACACATGAATCCATTAAGATAAAGCAAGAACTAAAAGTGACTGGATTTCATCCTAAAGCTAAGTTCCTCAAAGTCATCAAGTTCCTTTGCAAAGTATTTTCTTAGCTAAAAAAGATCAAGAACCGTAATTTTAATTTCCAGGAAAAAAACCCTGTAATTAAAATGCCATGCTGTACTTCTAATTCTGGCAAAAATAATGACTGCAAATTCCAGAAAAGAAAATCACTGCTTTTAATGGCTTCTGTAGTCTGTCACTTTTGTATGTGATTAAAATATGTTTTTTCCAAAACATACATGCCACATTGAGCATACAGTAATTTAGCATAGCTTATTATCATGTTTTACTTATAATAAAAATGTTGGGTTATATTCATTACATCAATAATTTTATTACATATTATACAATGCATCTTGAGCTTCAGTTTGCACTTACACATGAAGTCCTATTTTGAAAGAAAATCAATAAATCCGCTAGTGAAAAAACTTGCTATATGTTTAAATCTCTCCAAGTAGACAGCAGGGACAAGTCAAACCTATTAATCGATCCTGCAGGGTTTTCTGGAACTGGGTAAGATTCATGTTCCATTAGTAGTATCACCTACTATCAGTAACTAAATGTAGATACAGCCACAATTTCCTCTTCAAAGCGTGCAGAATACAATGCTTGAAATGTAAGATACAGTTTGATAGTAGTGAATAGCATTTTCCTGGATTTTTTTTTTGACTGTGTTAAATCCTTTTTTGCTGTCACTTAACTTTGGATACTATAGATTATGCTATCAATTGCTTCACTAAGTCATGAAGAAAAATGGGAATAATATTTTGAAATACGATAATTACACTACTGATTTCCTGATGAAACATATTTGTACTCAAAATCGCTACTTCTGTGTTTAAAATATTTTGCAAAGAGCAACATATACTCAGTTATAACTATGACATATTTTAGGCAGAAAGACCTTCTGGCCTGTGTAGAAACAGCACTTTTCCCCCAGGACCAGGGAGCTGTGAATGTTAAACAACAGCAACAAGAAAAGAAGGATTCTAAGAAACATCCTCAATAATATAATTTTCAATACTTTTGCATCATTTGTACATGGTCAGTACAGAATGGTCGAAGCATAAATATTTCTAAAGGCAAGCAATAAGAAGAAGGGTTATAAATTTTCAAAGAGGCCCTAAATTTTTCACCATGGCCCAACTTCAGAACCAAAGAGCAAACAAATTTATTACCTTTTCAGTATTTACATATGGCCTGTAATTGAGGGCACGTAGGTACCCAGTTCTGACAACAATTAAGAGATCTTAGCACCTCACTGAGCACAGGATACAAGAGGCTTTTGTTGGGACAGATCTTTTGAAGCCAGAACCCAACCAGAGTGATGCTGCGCGATGCATCTGCTGTGGGAGGACAATCGGGCAAGAATAGGCAGTGAAGCCAGGGCAGGCAGAGGCCACCCCGCTGCGACCGCTCTGCCACGGTCCGGGACGGCTCTCCAGCAGGATGGATACACTGACGGCAACACCTCAGCCGGATGCGCCGATGGCAGCGATGGGACAGTGGGGACATCACCTGCCATTGACCGGTCCACGGTGCCACCAAGAACCAACAGCCCCCCCGTCCCCCACGGCATAAACGCGTCCCTGCATCGCGCAGAGCCGGGTGCAGCCAGAAGCTAAAGGGCAGCTACGTTCCCTCTACCCCGGCCGGGACGCCGGGGTTACGGGCCATCCCCGTTCCCCTCAGCCCCGGCCGCCATCAGCGCCGCCCCGCCCGCCGGCGGAGTCAGCGCCGCCACCGCGCATGCCCGGGCCGCCCGCGCGTGCGCCCCGCGGCGGCTCCGTTCATTCTAAGGGAGGACTAATCCCAGCAGGGCGGGCGGGATGCGGGGAAGGGAGGCTTCCCTGCGCTCACAGCGCGACCGCGGGGCCCGGCCGAGGGGTGTGGCAGCCTCCGGCGCTGCCACTGCTCCGCAGCCAGCCAAGCGCCAGTACCCCCTGAGCGCTCTCTCCGAGCAGCGCGCACCCACCTGCAGTCAACACCCGTAGCTCACCGACCGCTCTGGCCCACCCTCCGCAGCAGCCACGCCGGCAGATTGGAGCCTTCTGGTGTCACTCTCTCGCTCCTTGCGCTCCGAATGGCCTCGCCGGCCGTCAGTCCCGGGCAGAGCCCACCCATCTCCGCCAGCTGGTTCCTCTCTGACAGCACCGCGGGTGCAGCTCCGCCGCAGGCACCGCCTTTCCCCTGATAGGCCGGTACCTGGCGCATTCGCCTGTCACTCATAGGGTGCCCTGGCATCGGATTGGTGTTGATGCCTGGAGGGCGGGGCCTTCCGTCCGTCCCGCACGCCGATAGGCTCCCGCCGTGTTGGAGAGGCGGGTCCTGGCGGCGCCGTGCGGGCCGGTGCCGTGCGGGGCCATGGGCAGCGTGCGGTGGGCCTTCCCCTGCGGCGCCTGGCGCCCTCGCCGCCGAGAGTGGCTGCTGGCCGCGCAGCTGGTGCAGCCCGAGGAGAAGGACCGCATCGGCCAGTTTGTCTTTGCCCGCGATGCCAAAGCCGCCTTGGTACATGGGGGCACGGGGACGCGGCTGCCTCTCTGCAGACTGGGCATTGCCCAAGTGTCTGACTCCTCGTGGGAAAACATGCTCTACAAGGGCGTTTCGGGGAAGTAAATGCATCGTAAAGTATAAAGCTTGATGCGTGAAGTGTGCAGCTCTGCTTCGCCTAGGAGCAAAAAGAGGTGTTTGCAGTCTGCTGTCAGTAGTTACTATGAAAGGCTTCACAAGTTCTGTTTGGGGATGTCAAGTTAGGAGGCAAAATCAGCGTACCCTGGGACGTAAGACAGCAGTGTCGTGTGTAAGACAATAAAGCTGTTCTACACGATTCAGGTTTTAAATCTCGCATCCCGATGTGGTCGTAAAACAGACCTGGTGATTAGTCTGTAAGAAGTTACCCGTCACTTTGAGCTGCTCAGTGGTATTTCGATTAGTGCCGAAGTAATGGAGTGGCTGTACTACAAGGAAGGCTGTTGAGACGATGTTACTGTCCAGGGTGGTGTAAAAAGTATTTATTTGTGCCATGAAGTGTCCTAAGTAAGTAAATAAGGTAGGAAAGGCAACTATTTTTGTGATTCTTCTAGGCTGGGACTGCTTTTGAGTCTTGTGTTGCCTCTGTGCTAATAGTGATAATAAATGTATTCGATACTCAGGTCTGGTGAACTCTTGCTTCGTTGACACACGCTTTTATGAAAGGGGGAAATTTAAATTATTCAGCTAAAATACACCCTTACTTTGTATCAGCAATAATAAAGCCATATTTTTCAGGCAGGTGGTTTTCTAGCAGCCGCTGATATTTTGCAGATAGCATAATAGTTCTGTATGAATCACTTCCATTTTATTTCATAGGCTGGTCGCCTGTTGATGCGGAAATTAATTGCAGAAAAGATGTGCATACCTTGGAATGAAGTACAGTTGCAAAGGACATCGAAAGGAAAACCTTTCCTGGCCAATACCATATTCGGTATCAATTTGAATTACAACTTCAATATCTCTCATCAAGGAGATTATGCAGTCCTTGCAGCTGAGCCTGAGCTTCAAGTGGGCATTGATATAATGAAGACTAATTTACCAGGTAATGCATTATTCTGAGCAAAACAGATTCTATAATTTTTGAGTACTGAAAGTTTTCACATTTCACAAAGAACTGTGTCCTAGAAATTGCGTGATTAGAAAAGAGCATATGCATGTATTGTGCCTTTGGGGTTTTTTTATTATTTTTAAATGCACTTCTCATTGTTTATTTCTGTTATGAGAAATATGGATCTATTTGCCATTTAGAAAAGCAGAACCCTAAAAAAGTAAAGTCGTGAATTGTGCTATAATACTGGCAGGATCAGCATTTGCAGATACGTTAATTATGGATTTCTATCTCTTAGGTAGAAGTAGGGATGACTTTTCCAACTAGTGACAGTGGGAAAAATTTTTGTCGTAGTAGAATCACCTGAAACTCCTTTTTTATTGTTATGTTGTGAATATATAAAACTGACTTTACCAGTGTTGTTTTTTCTGATAGTGCCACTGAGCGGTGCTCTTGTTCTGCAGTTGCTGAGTACATTAGATTTCAGAGGGTGAATCCACTATAAGTCTCTTTCTCTGGAACAGCTACAAGGACAAAGATTTCCCTATGTACAAAATACATTAAAGTAGCTTTGTTTGGTTATTTTTCAAATGCTTGTTTAAATACAAAGTACTTTATTTTGTGATGTTATCCAACAGAATCTTGACTGAGGTCTCCACTATTCTAGTTCTTGTATTCCTTTATTGTTCCACCAGTGAAGATGCAAAATCTGCAGTGCAGATATACAAGAGAGTATCATGCAGCTGAAAATTTTGAGAATTCTGCTATTTAATTGTGTTCTAGTATGTAACAAGGAGTCCTGGTGCGTGTAAATATTTTATGTCGCTGCTTAATCCACGCTATCTATTTCTGTTTTACTTGTGAACAATAAGAAGCCTCCTCTTTCCATATTACTTCTGCTTCATTATTAAAATCTGAAAAATGAAACTGCTAGGAGATGCAGGACTTCTTAAAAGGTGGAGGCGGGCCACAAGAGAAACTATTCATAGTACTGCAAATAGAGACAGTTCTACAAAAGTTCCACACCTTTTTTAAAGGTGATAAAAGTTTATCACTTTTTTTCTTCTATTCAGATACTGAACTAAATACTGTAGTGATGGTAGAAAATATCCTCTTTAGGTATTTAGCTTCCTTAGGTATTATGTGCTTTTGCCTTTTCATTATCTGGCAGGTAATTACTGTAGATTCAAAGCAGTCTTTCAGTTTACTTGTTTCTGAATAATTACTTTGATCAGTGATTATTTTCTTCTCTTTAGACCAGTTTAAGAGAGACTTTGAGTCATTTGGGAACAGGCACATTGTAGTACTGTAGATTTGTTAGTAGAAGTATTTGTGCACATTTTTTGGCCAGAGAGCTAATGCATGTGAAATGATTTTAAGCCTTTCACCAAAGGAAAGGAGAAGGATTCTCACAGTACTACTAACTCCTGTGGAAAAACTCAGCTTGTGTTTGATTTTTAACTTATGGAAAAGAAATTTTGCAACAAGTGTCAACATGGTTTAAGTGGTGTGTGGGATGTTGATTTAGCAGTCACTTAAACTCTTGCAAAGTAGAACATTTTAAAAGACTTAAGAAATAATTATAGCTTAATAAAAATTGCCTGAAGCCCTTGAAAAAAGTTTGGCTTCTTATGTTCAAGAGCTTTCTTGCTGTGCAAGTGAATTTCTTGTTCAGTAATGCATTTTTTAGCTTAGATGGATTTGCAAAGGTAAATAAACTAACAATTTTTTTCTGTATCTTTCATAAGCAGCCTGTAGTTTTTCTTACCTGTCACATTATAGCTTACTTTGATCTGGACACCTCCAATCTCAATGTTATTCCAGAATTAAGTATTTTATTACAATAAAAATCAACTTTTCTTATTAATATTTTGGTTTTATGATAGGCTTGCATATTAAAAGACACAAAAGGGAAAATTTTCTGTGTGTGAATTTTACAGAAAAATTCATTTGATCTAAATATACTCCATGAAATGCTTTTTTAAGAAAATAGGCTATTATGTGCAAACACCTGATTGATATTGGTTTTCTCTGAGGCAAATAAATATAAACAGAACTTGACTATTTTCTCGCTTTTTATTCTCCTTGTTTCATCATCGAGGTGAGATAATGCAAGAGATGATAGATATCGTCAAGTGAGAGATGTGTCACACATGAATCGGGGTATCTAAGTCCCACAGGAAGAAGCTAACTACCATGCTTCAGTCTAGCTAGGGGAGGAAAGCTCGCTCTTTCTCTCTCTCTCCCTCTGTCTGTCCAGACAGTTAAAAGCTTTGTGATGTTTGTTTTTGTAGTCATAAGCTAAACTGAGAGTTAGGCATACCTACATCATAGTTAAGGTACTTGGCATGTCTTTTAGGTAGCAACCATGCTCAGTTTTTTGAAGTGCTTTTTTAATTGCTACTTTTCAGCTTTTTCAATAAGAATTTCCTAACCTAGGAAGAAATACCAAAGCAGATTGTTCTTGGGAGTGCTTTTGTCCTTACTATACCTTAACTTTACTTTAAACCAAGTTTTGTTAGGTTTTGTTTGTATTGTCGTATTTCACTAAATCTCAATAGCAGCAATCACCATCTAATCTTTTGCTGCAAGATAATAATCATCAAATTCTTAGTGAATGTTACAGCTTTAGATATGTAGATGCACTGCTTGGGATGAAGAAATTAACAAAGGATTTGGTTTAAATGTTACTTCTAATTATTCAAAGAAGTCAGAATTTATAAATATGTAAGCACATAATTTTTCTATGTGAAGGGAGTGTTAAAACAGCTGTTATCCTTGTTGAGTTAAAGAATCACAGTGGTCATATGCACTTACACTGAGTAAACAGGGAGGCATTTCTTTGTTCTTGTTCTGTTTGAAACTGGGAAGAAACAGCCATCTTAAATGTACTCTTAAAGAATACATTATTATTTTATAGCAGTTTCATTATTTTGCTTTATTTAGTCACGTTTCTAACACTGTTTTAACCTGAAATTACATCATTCTGTAATTGATGAGGCACCAATGCTTGATAAACTGTGAAAGAAAAATTTGTTGTGATTAAATCTCCTCTTTTAAGGAAAAATAACCTTTTTTTTTTCCCCTGAAGAAATCGTCTAAATCCTTTGTGAATCTTTCTTGAATAGCAAAACATAAACCCATTTGGATTAAAATATAAACAGATAGCAAAATGCAGAACAGTAAAAATGAACCTGTGTAGAGTAGATATGTTTAAAATAAGGGATAAATTAGCAATAAAGAAAGCAAAACATTTTAAACCAGATGCTTTTAGTAAAAATAAGAGGTGGAACAAAGAGCAAATACAAGAATGCTTGTCTGATTGTTTTTGGGTTTTGGTGTTGTGGGTTTTTTTTTCCTTTCTGCACACTGAATTTAAAATAATCACAATTTATTCCTTCCTTGGTCTTTTGGGAAATAAGGTTATACATTCACAATGAGCAGTTAAGTCAAATAGAATTATTTTTTCTTAAGAGAACTGAAAGTACTTCTCAGCCTGCACTAGTGACAGTTAGGTTTGGCTTTCCAAATTAAGGAAGTCTAGCAGAAAAATGTGACATAAGGGCTAAGGTTAAGTAATTACTATGTAGATATTGAAAATACGCTTTTTGAGGAGTTTTTTGCTAACACTATCCATTTCCAATAGCTTCAGTTCTACAGATACATGTTTTGTTGCAAGAGTTGGAAAATAGAAGCTGTCTTTGTTCTGTATACTCAAAAGCTTATTTGGATGTTTTCTCTACAGATATTACAGTTTGAAGCTTATATTGGTTTCAAGGTTGGGAGACTGTTTTAGAGACAGACTTGAGATTTTTAGACTGACTTACGAAATGGTAGAAACTTAAATATTTCACATCTTTCCTCAGTAACTGTAATAGCCTCAGCTGCGTTTCCCTGATGTATTTCCTTTCTAAAAGAAATTCTGATTTTCAACAGGGCAAATGATTTTATATTTCCTCAATAAAGATGACAGGTTGCTGTTGTCACATCAGGCTTTCAGGAAAGTTTAGGACCAGGAGACTTTTGCTACTTCCTTGAGTAGCTGTTTTCTTGCCATTTATTGGGTTGGTTGGCTGTGAATTCTAGGCATTCATGGTTGTTATATGCTATGTTGCATTTTAATGGAAAATCCAATTTTGTAGGGCATGAAAAAATTATTACTTGTGTTGTATAGTTTTCCTGTTTGTTCATCAGACTTGTTGGGTTTTGTTTTAAATATGTGTATCTTCCTTTTGTTTTTCCCTAGTAAAAAGAAATTTAATAAAAGTAAAGCAAACACCTGGAGATAGTATCCACAAGACTAGATAAAACTGATAGAGGTGAACGGACTACTGAAGTTCATCAAGTTTTCAGCTGTAGGCCATCCTCTGCTTTTGCCATGTTGTGATACATTTATCTTGCTGTTGCATCTTTGCTTATATAACCTTTTGACTGGATAAAAAATGGCTCTTGCAGTGGCAAAGTTGATTTGTGGGTTGATAGGGGAAACGATGTGGGGGAACAGTGACTAGCTAGTGCCAGTGACTAGCTGACTGCTGTCTCTTCTCAGTGGAATGACCACACACAGCAAAACATGCTGGATTTAGCTGCCAAGTGGGACAGTCTTTCAGCTGCTGGCAAGCCAAACAAATAGCTTTATAAGATTTGAGGTTTTGTTTAGGTTTGGTTTTCTTTTATTAAAGAATATGCTTACTGGTTATTTTCCCTGTTACTGATTGATCCCCAAATTTAAAACACTTATACTTTTTCTGTAAAAAAGTATAAAATGGGGGAGGGATAGCGTATAAACAGAGGTGGGGAAGTTTTAAGTGTGAAAATGATAAGGGACGTTTTTACTGCATCTGGCTGTCCGATTTGTGTTCTGGGACAGGCTTCTGTGCACTGTCCCAGTTTCTGCCATTATGAGGAACTTTGTTCAGTGGATTCATTACTGCAGTAGGATATCATGGTGTAAAAGGACATAGTCCTAGAATATGGGATTTCTTATCAGACTT